GGCGATACAATCTTCGGGAAGATTGTGCGCAAAGAAATCCCGGCCAAAATCATCTTGGAGGATGAATATGTACGTTGCTTTTTATGCGTTTTTGCTGCAGCCGGCAAAGGCGCATATTGTCGAGAGGCTGTCTGTGTGTCAGTGTGTGTTTGGGAAGCGAGTGCATTTTGTCACCCATTTTCATCTCAGCAACCAGGAAAGCTGGGAGGCTGAAACTTTGCGAGTGCATTTTGTCACCCACTTTCAACTCGGCAACCAGGAAAGCTGAGGGGCTGAAACTTCGGAAATATGTTCCTACCCCGTGTGTAATCCTCCTGTTTTAAGGTCTTTCCGTATACGCGCCTAGACCCCGCGTGCGGGATCCCCAAAGAAATGTGTCGGCGGGAAACGATTTCGCGAACCAGACAATGTAAAAGGCTGAAACTTTGCAGGGATATTCTCTATGCACGTGCGAGCTAAAGATTTTAAACTCAGCTGTTGAGCACCCCAACCACAGTCTCAAGCAGCTCCTCAACCCAAGAAATCGTTAGCAACTCGGACCTGAACCGCAATCGTATATTTAAATGAACATGGATTTTTTGACCAACGACCGCTCGAGCAATACTTCCATTTTTTAGTGAACTGGAAATTTGCATCTTTTCAAAAAATTTGCACTTGTCATTTTTTTCAGAAAGTGAGCATTTACCGAAAAAACGGCCGGACTTCATGCAAAAATCCGGTAGTCATGCGCCTGGATGTCCGTGCGGCTCTATAATGCACCACCTTCATCCCAACTGACGCCATTCCTCCTGCATGCCGGAAGGGGCCAAAGCACGACCAATATGAGCCTAAGTGTTAGGTTACAGCGTAGTGATAGTTCTTGTTAATAGCGATCTGCGAGTTTAGTGCAAAAACGCATGATCGCACCGGAGGGCCTGATGCGTTACAGCCTGGGTTTTATTTCACCTGCACATATCCCCCGATGCTAGTGTAACTTAAAATACCTAAATTTTATTCTTGCCAAGAGCCTAAAAAAGTTTTTTTT